CTCCAGTTTTTTATATGCATTTTATCTTTACCTTTCTTTTCTATCAATTTAATCGCAGTTCCTTGTCTTTTTATCCGCTGGCGACGCTGATTCACTATCCCTACTTTCTATGCTCGAGGTACTGCTGACTTGGTTTTTACGTTTATTGACCTCAGCCATAAAAAGACAACGACCGAAAACTATATATCACTCCACATCGGCTACGGAACTTTCTTGGGCACGTCTTACTCAGACGCTGTCATGCCCAGAATCACTAACTGGTTTGCCAAGTTTCCAATCAAGGTAACACACGTAGACAAGGACTTCTTCCAAGATACCAAAATCAGTTCCACCATCTGCCATCACTGATATGAAGTTGCTCTCTCTCAATTTCACTCCAGTCTCCTCTTTTAGTATGTCACTTATGTGGTGTAAAAATTCAGTACAGGCACTTCTTGCGGTGTATGTTTCGCCGAGGTCAGCTCCATTGAGGTTTTGAAGAGCACAGAATGTTTCATAATCATCAAAAGGCCTTTCAATCGCTACAATGGTAAATGCTGTCAAAATCTTCTTTTCCAATTTAGGATCCTTGGCACTAATCAATTTGTTTAGAGATTTGACAAATGGTCTTTCCTGTGGCTTTTAGTGTGCCTTCAGAGATTCAACACAGCTTGCATGTGCTTGACTTTTATCATGCTTCTTTAGAGTTTCCATCTTCAATATTCTGCTTCCACTCTTCTTAGAAATGTCATTAGTTGATGATGACTGCGAATGCTGGGAACACACACTACGGTACATAGGTTAGACTTCACAGGTCCCATCTTAAGATAAGATGGGAGAATCTTCTTTCTTTGGTTTCTTTAATGAACTTGCCTTGCTTTGAAAACCAGTGTTTTAAACACCCTCTCTTTATGCCATTGTTGGTACCTTTGTCATCTGTTTTTGAAGTTTTCACTTTGGGTATCTCTCCAGCAACCTGAGGAGGCATTACTTTCTTCTTGAGGCTTCCCACTTGTGCCATCTGCTCAATCATGTTTTGACCTTTACCATTTCTTGTAATGGAGAACAGGGGAACAAAGTGATTTGGCTCAAACCACGCACCAGGTCTATCATCACTTCCTTCCCTTGTCCATAGCAAGAAAACAGTTTCTGATGAGAATTTTGCCATTCGAGGGTAGATAATCCCATGCACAAAATCCCTTGTCCATGACGGGCAGTCAGGGTAGGAAAGGAATACTGGCCTAGCTAAAACAACAGTTAAAGCAGACACTTGGAAATATCCACTCCATTCTTTTGGCTTGCTGGCATTGCGTGCCTCTGAGAAGACAGCCAATTCCCTGTTTTGAGCACTGTCATGGAAAATGTCGTTGCTGCGTCTTGTTAGGCAGAGGGTAAATACTGTATTGGGATGGCAACAACCAGAAGGAAAATAAGTAAATTTGGGATGCTGTGCGTAGAAGCTGACATTGATGTCGAGTTCAAGAGCAACAAGTAATCGCCAAAGAATAGCATATGATTCATCACCCACTAAAGCAAATGATACCGCATTATATAAGCAGTTTCCGTTCCCAGTGGTCTTCACTGCTTTATAGATTTTGTCAGCAGAAGAAGGAAGGTCTTCAGGAATAAGAGCATTCAACAGTTTATCTTCTTCAAGACCCACATGGGAATTACATTCCAGGCTACGAATAAATTGTTTCTGGTTTTCGTACTTTCTCTCAAGAGTACTAAAGTATCCCCTAAACTCATCTTCCGGTTTTCCTTTTACTATCTGGCAGTCAAGAATCTCGTACAATGCACGAAGATCGTGGTCCATCTCCTAAATACTCTTTTCTCACATCATTGGTGAACTACACGTGTATCATTGCACAGACTGAGGGAAAGATAAATCATGGTGGTTAAAAGTGAGAATTCTAGCATGGTGACATACGAAATCCGTCAAGTTTTCGCGCCAAAATGACACGATTAAAAAAACCTCATTCAGAGATTTTGATTCATGCATGGACTTGAAAGTTTATCTAGCTCTCATTAACGAAAGTTACAGTGAATCGTGAAGCCTTCGTCATTGCAACTTACTATTTGCAAGAAAGTTAAAATTTTCAGAAAGTAGACGAAACCATTGATAGGATGTTTAATTAAAAGTTGATTGCAAGTTTGTGCGACATCCAGCCAAGGAAACCATTGCTGAATGACAATCTTTACTAATCCGTGACGTTTTGAAAGAGTAGTGTTGTATACTTCCTACAGTTCCAGGGAATTTGCAGAATTGCCAACAGTTTCATCTCTCTCGTTCAATATTCACTTCACTGGGCACAGGTGGCAAAGTTAGTTACTATATTTAGCAGTCACATACTCTGTTTTGGCGAACTTTTGATATCATGAAATCCTGTTATAAATTAACCACACACATGTTAAAACCGCTAAGAAAATTTCTTTGAAGACCACTAAAATAGGTTTCGAAACAAAAGAGTTCTTATATTGAAGTTTTATTTTCGTCAAATTTTGATCAAATGATTACAGTTGCAAGCAAGTTGCCAAATATGGTGCTGATAAACATCTTGCATGCCACGGATTAAGCTAATTAAATAAACACAAATTTGCATAAAGGACGGTTTCGTTTTATTAATCACACGCTCCACTATTGAAACTGTTGAAACAAAAATTAAATATAAGCATCAACCACTTCAATTAAAAAAATTAGATCTTCAACACATGCTTGTGCAAAAATCGTAGTTTCCCACGGGCAAGGAAAAAACAATTTTTCGTGCTAAATCATGTGAAACAATATTACATAACACACGTGACAACTTTGAGTGTGAACAATTCTTGTTGTTGTCCTGCAAAATATTTTTTAGTTCTGCAAATGTCATCAAATTAGCAAGTAAAATCATAAAATGTTAGTTACAATCAGTTGCTCGCTTTATCGCGTCGTTCAATGGACAAGAAGCCTGGGCTATGTAATATATTAATAAATCAGAAGAGAAACCACTGAAGCGAAACAAGACCCATGACCTACTTAATGTACAAATCACACAGGCTATTGATTGCACTGTGCTTTCAGCGCTTTTGCTTTTCGGGCTAACAGGAGCCAGGGAGCATGATGGAGTTTCTTTTTGTTTTGTTCTGTTCCATTTCTATATGTTTGCTGGTTTCGTT